TAAAATCTTCAGCAATTCAATGAGTAGGATGTTCACTATAACATTAATTATTTGGGGAGGGGACACCAGAGATCAAACATATATATAATATTTGTTACATTTTTAATATATCATAGTTATAGCTTATTTTGTCACTAAAAATCATGTGCATTTGGTGGGAAAAAGTGATAATACATCAGGTAGGGTGCTTTCCTTGCATGCAGCTGACGGGTTTGGTCCCAGGCACCTCAGATTGTCCCTGAGCGCTGACAGGAGTCAGTCCTGAGCATCATCAGGAATGACCCAAAAACAAAATCATGTGAATTTTTAAAAGTGTATGTAATTCTCTAAAAATTTCTATATTTTTATGAATATAAAATCACTTTATCTTATCCAAACTTTTAGAAAAGCAAATACACAAAAGAAAATTAAAACCATTTCATATAGAGTCTTTTACTTATGGAGTTATATGTTTTCACTTACTAAAAAATGTTTGATTTTTTTTTTTACTAGCCAAGTAAAGTCTTCACTTATTTAATTTTGAAAAGTCATTTGCCAGTTTTTGTGGTCTTCTATTTTTCTATATGCCATTACCTAATTTCAGGGCCACAAAGAAAGGGAAAGTCATGAAAGCTCCAAGGATATGAGGATGGCAAGCCTCTGTCACTTCACCTTTCATGTGGTACTTTGATTTTCGCAGATAAAAGGTCAATAGGTATCTTGATCCAAGGCTGCCTAAACAAATACAACAAAAAAGTAGCATTTCTTGGAACATTATGCTTTGCCATTATTTAATCCGTGTTTGGGTTTCGTATTTTAAGAATCATGAAGTGTCACATGAAGGTCATTGTCCCTGTCAGCCTTGCACCAGAAAGGTGATGGGAAGAAAATATTTCATTTAGCAATTTGCAGGCTCTTACCAATAACTAACGAGGAATAAAGTACTGAAGCTAATTGTGGCTTCCTTGCTGAGGCATTTCAGAGGAAGGCAAAAGACTTGTGAGATGTGTTTTGTTTTGTTTTGTTGTTTTGTTGTTTTCTGCTTTTTGGGTCACACCTGGCTGTGCACAGGGATCACTCCTGGTTTGCATTCAGTATTACTCCTGGCGGTGCTCGGGGGACCATATGCAATGTTGGGAATCAAACTAGGTCAGCCATGTGCAAGGCAAATGCCCTACCCACTGTAGTATTGCTCCAGCCTGACTTGTGAGATGTTTACAGGATGTTAAACGAGGTGATCTCACTGGCTATGAAAAAGCTATCATAGCATCATGTTTCAGTATTCTGCTATGTAGAGAAGACCATTACAAGAAATAAAGGAAGTGGTGGCACTTACATTAAGCCAGGGCTTTCTTAGTAAATCAGGCAAGTAACTGCTGTGAGTTGGAGTGGTGACTTAGGCCCAGAATGGAGTATGGTTCCTGGGTGGCTTATGCTAAGTGGGAAGAGAGAGGTGGCAACCCCAAGAAGGGAGTATTATCACCTCCAATTCTACCCACCTCTGTCACCCAGGGAAGTGCCTGGGGAAGTTGTGAGTGAGAATGCTGCAAGCCTGCTATGAGCACCTGCAAGGTACAGACCTAAATTCTCACTAGTTCCATGCAGCAGTCATCAAATTGCACCTGGGATACATTTGTTCTGCCCTACTGCATGGGAAAGAGGGAAATCTGATTTCTCTAGAAGCTATGGAACTCAGGATGGAGCAAGGGAGTGAGCCTTGCAGAAAAGTCAGTCCTAAATCCTCCGGAGGCTTTTCAGTCCCTTATATTTCAAAGATTATAATGTAAAGAGGAGATGGATAGTGAGCTAAGATGACTTGAGAAATGAGAGGAGAGACTGAAATTCATGTTAGAGTGAGAATATGAGCTTCTCCAGAGTATTTAAAGCAAAGTACATACCCCAAGAAGAGCTGTAGCAAATTCCCAAGTTGGAGAATGAACCCCATAAGTGCCACTTTTACTCTGCCAAGTGAGTTTATGTACAGTTTTCCCAACTGTCCCCCAACCCCATCCTTCCCACTTCCTGTGAAAGTCTGTAGCTAGGGTGGTTGCCAAGGGGGAGAGCTTGGAACTGTTTCTATTCCAAGGGTGGAACATTTCCTTCCAGGGAGTCCAATTATGCTCTGGGGCTGGAACTCAAACGTTTTCAGGTCTCTTCAAATGGGTCCTGAGTCCTAAAAGTCACCATGCCTGTGGGTCAGTTTAGATTTCAGACAAAGCTTTCCAAAATGCATGTTACCAGGATCCCCCCACCCCCCCATCGTCTTTCTGTATACAACAGAACTTAGCTCAATGTGTTACTTCATCACAATTTGTCACAGCATGTGCTCTGTTTTAAAGGCAAAATGATTTCTCCCAATAATTGTTATTTTTACATCACAGATGCCCGTTCTAGGTTTTAACTGAAAATACTTCCCTACATTGTCACTACACTTGGACATGCCACTACCTTCCAGCCTATCCAAGTGTTAACATCTTTAAAAACTAATTAAATGTTATTTTTCCTACTAAATGAGGAAGAGATTGTATCATACAAAAAGTTCCACTCTATTTGATGATGAATAGTAAGCCCGAGGGCTGGAGCGATAGCACAGTGGTAGGGTGTTTGCCTTGCACACAGCCAACCTGGTTGAGCCGGGTTTGATTCCTCTGCGCCTCTCTCGGAGAGCCCGGCAAGCTGTCAAGAGTATCTCACCCGCATAGCAAAGCCTGGCAAGCTACCCATGACGTATTCAATATGCCAAATACAGTAACAACAAGTCTCAAAAAAATGGAGACGTTCCTGGGCCTGCTCGAGCAAATTGATGAACAATGGGAGGACAGTGACAGTGACAGTAAGCCCAAAGTAAAAGCTATTGGCAATTTTACAGAAAAACTGTGGCATACTTTTGACCACATGTGTTTGGTCTGTATAAAATCAGTAAATGTAAAGAATGAAGTGGTAGGCAGTGTGTATTTTGCTATCTTTAGTCTTTGTAGAGAGACTACACTAAAATAACACTGCTAAAAAGCAATTTTTTGAGAGAATAAAATGTACTCAGATGTTCATTTGTATCTCTTTTATGTTATTCCACTAAAAATATGGCATAGGTGGGTTTTTGTTAAATACTAATGAAAAATATTTTTCTCAGGGAATTTTTTTCCTATTATCTCTGCATCTTTACTTTTGGAACCAAATGTTCTGAAAATCTACTCATCTCTCCCTCAACTCACCTGACCCGCAATCCTGAAGCAAGTCACCTCCATCTGGCTTTTTCCTCATCTTAGGCAATATAGCACTGTAGCACTGTTCTCCCATTGTTCATCGATTTTCTCAAGCAGGCCCAGTAACGTCTCCATTGTGAGACTTGTTGTGACTGTGTTTAGCATATTAAATACGTCACAGGTAGATTTAGACAATATAATTTACTAAATTACTATTGAAAAGATGGAAGCAGTTTCTGAGTCATTTAAATTCCACCTACTAAATACCTATCCCTAATGATAAAACATATGTAAAAAAGGAGGTTGAAACCCTAAAGAAAGTCTGGATAGGAATTAATCTACTATTTGCTTGAAATTCATAAGCTATTTTGGTGCCACAAATGCCTCTATTTTGAAGAACCTGTATGGAAAAGATAGATTTTGATGAAAAAAAATCATCTGGTAGGGTCAAGAGGATAAGAGAAATATCTACACAGCCCTGGTACACAGTGTGTGAAAGCCTGCTCTGTCTTGCCCGCTCTCCCTTAGATCATCTTCATGTGGAATTGAAACTGTGAGTCACTCTATTGCAAGGAGATGGGAGAAAGGAAACAGGAAGTTGTGTAACCCACCAGGAAGCAACTCTGGCTTTCAGTTCTTCCCATCATCTCACAAAATTTCTAGTTTCTTCTTAATCCTGAACAATTTGTTGTCAGAACAGTTTGCATTTTGTGTGAGAAAGTACACATTTTATATGTTTTGAGTAAAATCATAATATTCTGAAAGGAAAGTTCTCTCTGAGCATTTCTCTGAACTTATTTCAGGTATGCGTTGCCTCTTATAAGCAAAACTGTGATGGTCAATGACCAGTGACATCTTGACCCTGTTTTCCTCATTAATATTCACTGGTTCTTGTCCAAGAATTAGAAGTTAATCTTTTGTGTTTGTGCTTTTAGAACTGATAAAGACAGATTTAAAAATCCACAATAGTCAAAAGGATACAATTATAAGAAAAAAATTCATAGTAGAACCATGACTAAATGAAAAAAAATGAATGCTTCATAACTAATCAGAAAGAGATTTGTGAATAAAATTTTGAAAGAAAACTGTCATCACGAACTTCAGTGATCATTTTTAAATGTTTATAACTACATGAATTATGTAACCGTCCAAAGAGACTTATTGAAAGAAAAGATTTATTCAGCTTATTTGCTTTACCCGATTATACCACTCATGTTGATTACTTTTTCCATATTTGAAATTATATAACCAATAATTGTGAACTTTGCACTCCAAATAAGTTACCTCCACACACTCCTTCTGAGATATTACGCTCTCTGTATTAGTACTCCTCCTCTTTGAACCTAAGACAATAGCCAAGAAAGCTTGTTTATATTCTGTTTGGAAAGTGGGTATTTAATTAGTGCCAGTTCTGTAAACACACCAGATTTAAACTGATTACATTTGTTACACATCACCTCCAACTCTACCTTTAGCAACTAAATCACTCTTCCTCATCAGCTATCATTTACGTATTATTAGCATCAAAAGGAAATGAAATGGAGTCACACCCATTTAATTTCACCTGGGAGTCTGGGATTTACTCCAGTGGTGGTGTAATGGAGGACCTTGTAATAAAAATGAGTCATTTCATAGTGTTCTATTCTGTGGCTAGTGAACTTTGTGGCAGTCTTTATGCCAGATACCATAATCCTAAGAAGAATGGCACTAAAATTAGGGAGACCTCACAGTTTGCTTGTGTTTCATGTCTTGGAGTCATATACCAACTAAGAGTTACCTCCTATTTTTTTTCTCTTTCTGTCTTAATATTCCTGACAGGTACAAAGCACAAAACTATGCTAGAAGCCCGTAATGGAAGTGGTACTATCAAAGCCTTTCCTAGGGCAGGAATGAAAGGAAAGGGACCTGTTAATAAGGGAAACACAGGTCTACAAAACAAAACATTTCACTGTGAAATCTGTGATGTGCATGTCAACTCAGAAACACAACTTAAACAGGTAAGGCAGCACGATTCCTGGAATGAAAACAGGGGTCAACATCATGTCTAGAATTGGTATTCTTCCTCGGTTCCCTTTTATATTTTGATCTCCCATCTGTCTATTCAGTCACTTATCTTCTATCACTTTCCTAATACATTTATACTTACTTTTGTTGCTGAAGGAATTCTGAAAGGTAATGGTTATGAAACCTTTTAGAAATTGTCAGAGGAGATTTTGGACTACTCTTATGTATGGAAGGAAAACAGTTATCCTTTTCTTTACCAGATTTTGCCTTTAATTTTTCTTAAATTTCCGTTAAGGTTTAGATTAATATGTTCCATGAATACTGGAATATATATATATGTGTGTGTGTGTGTGTGTGTGTGTGTGTGTGTGTGTGTGCTACAAAGAGTTTTATACCATGCCTTTCTTTATTGTATGGACTCCCTGTATGGTGTCATACTGTGCTTCTAAACCCTTCAGCCACCTGCTAAGCAGATGACTAATTCTGATGCATTAACTTTTACTCTGAATAGCCTTTAAAGGCATCACTTTATGCATCACCAATAGAAGGCTCAGCCTTATTGTGTTGCATTTTGTATGCATGTATGTGATATTGTGCTGATTTTATGCACCTTAGTTATTTATCTTTAGAATTTAAAGCATTGACATTTGACTGTACAAATGTGAAGTAAATATTAGTATGGAAATAAATTCATGCCTTCCTGGCCATTTTTGTTTATTTGCACAGAAAATGCCTTTAGATATTCTCTTTCTTTGAAAACTCTCTTCTAAAGAAAATCAGATCTGTGCAGTGACATGGAGAAAAACTAAGAAAAAGAAAGATGATTCTTCTATTTGTTAAAAATATACTAAAATGAATAGCATGAAATATATATATCCCTGTGGCATAAAATCTAAGAACAAAAGTGCCTGTTCCTCTATTTATTACCTTTCTGAAACTTGCATGAAAGAATCCATTTGTTCCTCCAGGTTAAAGCGATATTTGTGAGGATGTCTTTGTTTTTATGATGAATTTTTTAAGACTGTCATTTTTAATGACTTTTAATAGCACATTAGCAGTAGAAGGCACAAAGACAGAGCTGCTGGGAAACCCCCGAAACCTAAATACAGTCCTTACAACAAACTACAGAAGACAGCACATCCACTGGGGGTGAGTTTCATTTTCATTTCTCAAAAGATAATGATATTTCATGTTCCACAACCTACAAAACATGGAACACTACGACAGAGGGATTGGGATATATGGAACCAGTTACTTAATGAAATAAATGGACGGTATCTAAGTAATGACAACCTATTTGAGGCTCAACCTCTATTACTGGTCTTGTGAAGGTTTTGGGTGTTATGCCACCTTTAGCCATAGCTCAGTATTTGGTAGTAGGGGTGTGGGGGGGAAGCATACTTGGCAGTGCTCAGGGCTTGTTTCTGGCTCTGTGCTCAGGGATAAATCCTGGTAGTGCTCAGGGGACTGACACAGGAACAGTGCTGGAGGGTCTCTGTGTTCATCCATGGATCCCAAGTTCATCAATACTTTCAAGAATAAAAAGACCGCATAATAAAGATGCTGAAGCTCAGAGTGAAAAAATAGAAAAGTTTATTGGAAAGTAAATAGAAGAGAAAGAAACAGCCCAGTAGGGGAGGAACTTAGTATAGGAACTGCGCATGCCAAATTTATAGAGTTTTTATAGAAAAACTTGATGATTCTTATGTCACTTATCAAACAAAGTCTCCACACTGGAGAAATATAGTACAGTGGGTAGAGTACATGCTTCGCATGCAGTCAACTAGGGTTTGATCCTCGGCATCGCATGTGAATCTCAGAGCATCACCAGTAGTGGTTCCTGAGTGCAGAGCCAGGAGCAGCCTCTCAACATTGTCACTGTGGCCAAAAATAAACAGAAAAAAACAAACTCTCAGAGGATTACCATTAGTTTTATTTTAGACATTTTAAGTTTAAAATATATATTATATAGTATATATTATTTTTGATATTTATAGCCAAGCGGGTAGGATGTTTGCCTTGCATGTGGACAACCCAGGTTCGATTCTCCGCCCCTTCTGGAGAGCCCAGCAATCTACTGAGAGTACCTCGCTCACACAGCAAAGCCTGAAAAACTACCCGTGATGTATTCAATATGCCAAACACAGTAACAACAAATCTCACAATGGAGATGTTATTGGGCTTGCTCGAGCGAATCAATGAACAATGGGAGGACAGTGACAGTGATACCGTATATATTTCACCATATGCTCAGGTATTATCTCTTAGTCTCCTGCTAGCCCAATGTCTGGGGCAGAATTTATGGTCTTGGAAAAGTATAAACTACCAAGTCCCGGAGAGAGTCCAGAACTTTGCAGGAATAGCTGTCACTGTCACTGTCCTCCCTTTGTTAATCAATTTGCTCAAGTGGGCCCAGTAACGTCTGCATTTTGAGACTTGTTGTTACTGTGTTTGGCACATTGAATACATCACGGGTAGCTTGCCAGGCTTTGCCATGCGGACAAGATACTCTCAGTAGCTTGCTGGGTTCTCTGAGAGGGGCGGAGGAATCAAACCTGGGTTGGTCGGTCGGCATCCTGCAAGGCAAATACCCTACCGATGTGTTATAGCTCCAGTGCGCATGAATGTCTAAAATGTAGAATTAAGTCAGCTTAACATAGATCCACAAACATAGGCAATGGGGAAAGTGAGGCTTTCTCTTTTAGGATCATATATAGGGCCAGGAATCAAACTCCAGTCAGCCATGTGCAAAGCAAGAGCCCTAACCCTAATTCTATCTCTCTGGCCCACCAGAATCATCTTTGGGGGGTGAGGTTTAGGGTTATAGCAGAGCATAGTGAAGGAGGAAAAGAGATTTTTTTTGAGTTGGTGTTATAGCAAGCAAAGATACTCAGACTCCTGTCCTCAAGCTGTCAAACTGAAAGCAAGACACTGGAGATCAAGATTATCAAATCCAGGAGAAGAAAAAACTATTATTATTAATTTTATTCTATTTGGGGGGTTGTAAAATTTTTGAGGGTGATCAGGGGGTGGCCCCGACAGCTCTTCCCCTGGTCGCCAAGGTTCTGGGTACCGGGGCTGCTCCCCTAGCCAGGGCGGCCCGGGGAAGGGCGGACAGTGGAGGGACTGAGGGCCAAGCCAGTTTATTGATCAGATCCCGTTTATTCCATTCTCCCCTTGCACCTGTCCCAGTCTCTCTGAGCCTCTCATTCTAGTCTCACACTGCTCCTCATTCCTGTCTCCTTCTGTCTCTGATGCTCATCTCTCCGAGCTCCATCTTACAGCCTGGTCTCTCTCTCTTTCTCTCCACATGCTTGCTCCTGTATTTGGCTTCGACATTCTTTTCTCTCTGTTCCATTGCTAGCCTCTCCATGGTCCATCTTGCTGCCCTGCTCTCTCTCTCTCTCTCTCTCTCTCTCTCTCTCTCTCTCTCTCTCTCTCATCTCTCCCACTCTCTTTTCTCTCCAACTCCGGGCACTCTGGGCTGAAGCTGCACCCAGCAGTCAGGTAGCAAAATTAACATAAGAAAGTCTTTCCTGAGGTTAAAAGGATACAGGTTAAAAGGTTAAAAGGAAACAGGTTTTCTCTCTCCCTATCTTTGTGAGTTTTGCTAGAGGCTTATCGATCTTGTTAATTTTCTCAAAGAACCAGCTCTTGGTTTCATTGATCTTTCGGATTGTTTTTTGGGTTTCCATCTCGTTAATCTCTGCTCTGAGTTTTATTATTTCCTTTCTCCTGTTCGGGTTGTGCTCCTTTTTTTGGTCCTTCTCCAAGCTCTTAAGCTGTGAGGTTAGGTTACTTATGTGTGCTCGCTCCTCCTTCCTGAGGAATGCTTGTAGAGCTATAAACTTTCCTCTTAACACAGACTTTGCTGTGTCCCATAAGTTTTGGTAACTCGTGTTCTCATTTTCATTCGTTTCTAGGAATCTTTTGATTTCCTCTTTGATTTCCTGTCTAATCCACTCGTTGTTCAATAGTGCACTGTTTAATTTCCAGGTGTTTGATTTAGTTTTCTGTTTTAGTGTGTGATTTACTTCTAATTTCAGCGCATTATGGTCTGAGAAGATTGTTGATACAATCTCTACCTTCTTGATTTTATGGAGGCATGTTTTGTGGCTCAGCATGTGGTCTATCTTGGAGAATGTTCCATGTACGCTTGAGAAGAATGTGTATTCAGCTTTTTGTGGATGAAGTGTCCTGTATATATCTACTAAGTCCCTTTCTTCCATTGTTTCCCTCAAATGAAGTATGTCCTTGCTAAGCTTGAGTCTGGTTCATCTATCAAGAGGTGACAAAGCAGTGTTGAAGTCTCCCACTAGTATTGTGCTGCTATTGATGTCTTTTTGCAAATCTATGAGTAGTTGTTTTAAGTACTTTGCTGGTCTCTCATTAGGTGCATATACATTTATTATTGTAAGTTCTTCCTGTTGTACAGATCCTCTGATCAATAAGAAATGGCCTTCACTGTCTCTTATGACCTTCCTCACTCTGAAATCGATGTGGTCTGATATAAGGATGGCTACCCCAGCTTTTTTATGGGAGCTGTTTGCCTGTAGGATTGTTTTCCAGCCTTTGACTCTGAGTCTGTGTTTGCTTTGACTATTGAGATGCGTTTCTTGCAGGCAGAAGAATGTTGGGTTCAATTTTCTAATCCATCCTGCCACTCTATGTCTTTTAATTGGTGCGTTTAGCCCATTGACATTGAGAGAGATTATTGTTATGGGATTTTGTCCCATTGTTCTGTTAAAATTTGGTGTATTTGAGGGCCCTTTCTTGCCTTAAAGTAGCCCATTTAGTTGTTCTTGTAACCATGGTTTTGAGTCTATGACATTCCTGAGCTGTTGTTTGTCTGTGAAACTGTGTGTTGTTCCTTCTATTATGAATGAGAGTCTTGCTGGGAAAAGTATTTTGGGGGAGGCATTTATTTCATTGAGTTTTTTTACTATGTCCCACCACTGTTTTCGGGCCATGAGGGTTTCATCAGAAAAATCAGCTGTGAATTTTAAGGATGCTCCTTTGTAAGAGATTTCTTTCTTCGATCTTGCTGCTTTCAGAATTTTGTCTCTGTCTAAGGTTTTGGTCATTTTGATCAGAATGTGTCTTGGGGTATTTTTATTCGGATTTCTTCTAGCTGGTACCCTTCGGGCCTCCTGAATGTGGTCACAAGTTTTCTTCAGCTCTGGAAATGTTGTAGCAATGATTTCTTTGACAGTTTCTTCTTCATCGAGGTTTTCTTCCTGTCCCTCTGGGACTCCAATAATTCTTATGTTACCCCTCTTGGCTTCATCACGATCTTCTCTTGCCATCTGTTCCCAAATTGTGAGTCTCTTTTCCATTTTCTGCTCTTTTCTGGAGAGTCTCTGAACTTCATCTTCGAGCTCACTGATTCTGTTCTCAGCCGCTCTTACTCTGCTGCTGAGGCCTTCCACTGAGTTTTTCAATTCAACTATGAGATTTTTCAGGTCTGACATTTCTGATTGCATTTTCCTCATTTCTGCCTTCAAATCCTCTTGTCTTCTATTGGCATTGCTTTCCATTGTTTCCATTTGACCCAGCAATACCACTCCTGGGAATATATCCCAGAGAGGCAAAAATGTGTAGTCGAAGTGACATCTGCACTTGTTTGTTCATTGCAGCACTCTTTACAATAGCCAGAAACTGGAAGAAACCTGAATGCCCAAGAACAGATGACTGGTTAAAGAAACTTTGGTACATCTACACAATGGAGTACTATGTAGCTCTTAGAAAAGATGAAGTCATGAAATTTACATACAAGTGGTACAATATGGAAAGTATCATGCTAAGCGAAATGAGTCAGAAAGAGAGGGATAGACATAGAAAGATTGCATTCATCTGGGGGATATAAAGTAACAAAGTATGAGATTAATACCCAAGAATAGCTGAGATCAGCACCAGGAGGATTACTCCATAACTTAGAGGCCAGCCGGGTATCCTAGAGGAAAGGGCTGTTCAGATAGAGAAGGGAGCACCAAATAAAGGATGTTTGGAGGATCCTCCCAGGAGGGGAGATGCATGTCGAAAGTAGACTATGGACTGAACATGTTTGCCACTCAATGCCTCTTTTGCAGACCACAACACCCAAAAGGAGAGAGAGAACACAGGGGATTGCCCTGCCACAGAGACAGGGGGGATGGGGGGATGGGGGTGGGAGGGATATTATCCATGGTGGTGGAAAATGGGCACTGGTGGAGGGATGGGTATCTGATCATTGTATAATTGAAACCAAAGCACAAAAAATTGTAAATCTACAACTTTAAAAAAAATAAAATAAAATAAAGGGAAAAAAATTAAAAAAAAAAAAAAGGAAACAGGTTAAAAGGAAACATCACCTTAGAGGCATACCAGAGCCCTTCCTGACTGCTCCTGGCAATATAACCCTCAAGATGTTTTTCTCCTTTCCCTAGTCCAAAAACTCTATCAACATCTCAATACTAGTTATATTTGTGTGGACACAGTAAGAGATAACATTGAGGTTTATAGGGCAGCTCTCCTGGGACCATGCTGCCACAGACCCAGACTATAGTGCTCAGGCCAGATTAATCATTCCTAGTCCTTGCAGGGTCCGAATCTAGTTATTACTTTTGGATCATGACAGTATTTGTCCATGACCAAGCTCTGAACTTATAGTTAAGCATTATGGCATTTTGACCAGGTCCATGTCGATGCCAGGGTAGCACATAGCTTACAGCTTGTCCTGGTTCCATTTAGTCCCTCTTTGGGACCCTGCTTTTGGGAACGCTGGGAAGTAAGGACAGCTGAGACTTAGGTGGAGAGAACTGATGCCCAGGAGGAAAATACCACTGAGAATCACATTACAAGAGCATAGCATATACTGTCTTCTTATGTTCATACAAAAATGACATTGCTATGAATGAACTATGCAAAGGATTTAGAGAGATGAGAATAACAATATTTACAAGTCAAAAGTGCACAAAGAAAGAAGTTACAAATAAACACAGAGGAATGGGAGTACTGTAATGGGAGCAACCCAATAAACCTAAACTACCTGAGGCTATGCAGGAAGGACAAAAACAGTGTTGTCCTACACCAGCAAAAACAGTGTTGTCCTACACCAGTGTTGTCACACCAGCAAGACTCAGTGCTGATACCTAGCTCTTGCACTCAAGATCACTCCTGGTGGTACTTGAGGCACCATATGAGGTGCTACAAGTTCAGCCAACTGCACTATCTCTCCCATCCCAGAAAATATTTTATTTCTGAGAAGAGAAAAGAAAGAAGAAGTCAGAGAAACTTCTGGATTACAGGAGATTATGAAGCAGAGTTCCAGAGAAAGTCAGAAATCTTTCTCTGCTTTAATTTTAAGAGATTTTTAAAAATCATTTCCTGAACCAGGGTTCAGAGGCTAAGATGACCATCTTCTAGGGTCCAGTCACTTAGGTAACGTAGCTCATCAGGCACATTCTGGGCTATTATTGTGATGGTCCATTGTAGGATAACACTCTTTTGTCCTTCCTCAGGTAGCTTAGGTTTATCGGGTCACATCCATCTAAGGACACTGAACTTGTATTTTAAGCAATGTCCTTTCTGTATGGACACAGGAAGACAGTCAATATTATGCTTTGTAACTTGGGAGTTGATTGACTCCGAATAATATTTATTCCTGGGCATCTGATTTCTTGACTCAGTTGCCCTTAGTTCCTAGCACCCCAAAAGCAGGGTCCCGACGAGGGACTGAATGGACCCAGGGCAAACAGTGAGCTACCCTGCCATCGAAATGGGCCAGGCCAAAGAGCCACGATACTCAACTACAAGTTGAGGGCATGATCATGGACAAATGCTGTCATGATCCAAAAGTAAGTAACAACGAGACTAGGACCCTGCTGGAGCTAGGAAGATCAACCTGGCCTGAGGACTGCAGAATGTATAGTGAGATGCTCTCAGAAGGAACCAAACTAAGTTTATATCTCTTAATGTGCTCATACAGAATGACATTGCTAGAAATATTAGAAGTAGATTTATTACAACTATTTAAGTAGATTACTAACTGAGGGAAGAACACACCTTTGTTAGGATCCCACCCTTGAGCGGATCTCCTAGTAATCTGGAGTAATCTCTTTAGATGAGATTTTATCTTTAATCTCCTGGAGGAGTGGTCTTACCTCTCTTTGTTGATTTGTCAATATTCTACCCACCTTTATATCACCGCCTTATGTGATTGCTATATAAACTAAGACTGTAAGCTCGGGAAAGGGAGAGTCAGAGTGAGAGGGGCTCAAGCTTGAGAGAAAAGAACAGTCGTCCTGATCCAAGCACACACAGGGCTCAAGAAGACCGAACGCAGGCTATGAGAAAGAGCTATCCAGTGAGCCCGTGAACACACAAACTTCGGTGGTGTGATAAGATTTTACAGTCCATGCTATTCTTTCTTTATGGAATATCCCTAATCTTTCCCTGCCTGTTTCCCTTTGTCCCTATCAGTGGATAAGTAAACCCCTAATGTCCAGGTATGATCTTAGTGATACTTTAAGGAATGACAATGAAAAAAAAAAAACATTCTTGGTGTCTTCTTACAAATCTTTCAGAAACAAAGTTCTGGGAAATGGAACTCTGAACATGTTTGGAATATGAATATTTCTCTCCACAGCATGATTTAATTATTTGCCTAAGGACACTATTTAAGACATGAAGAAATAGTTCCTTAGAAATGCTCAACTGATGCCTGAGAGATACTAAGTGATGTTTTTTGTCTGTAAACATCTGACCTGGGTTTGATAACAGACACCACTGGGTGTGGCTCTCAAACAGAACAAAATAAAACACTATTTCTATGACCTGAAATGTGCTCTTTTTTAGGGGAGGTGCTTTCTGTTTTCAAAGTATACTCAGGACACAGGGGAGGAAAGGAGGCAAGGTATACTAATACCCTGACCAGGAAAGGTTTTATAGGATTTTAGTAGAGCCCTGTGACCCTCTCATCCTAGACCAATATTTACAAGCATTTGTTTCTTCTCTTACTTGACTTGACCTAAATTTCCATTGGAGAGACCCAGGGGCTCAAGTAGAAGTTAAGAAAAACTAATCTACAATATGTGCTGAATTGTGCATTTTGAAATCTGTTTTCTTTTAAATAGATCTTATTAATAGTGGGTTCTATTATGTGCTGATGACAGATGAAAATGTAGTTAAAGCAAAACTGCAATCATCTATTATGAGACCTCAGTATGAGCTGACCCATTTAATTTGGTGGCATCACCCATTTTTATGCAAATGAAACCACTTAACTCTTTTGTACTGAAGTCATTTTTTGCTGCCAGGAGAAGCAGTGGATTCTGTGTGCAGAGTGGATGTTTCCGAACTACTAGGCAGAAATTACTGCATGTCTTTGACTAGCATCAATGAGGTTTTTGATGATCAAAGAAACGGCTCTTAAGTAAACAGTGAAGTCAAATTGTATTAGTGTTCACATCTAAAACTCCTTCTTCACTGCCACTCTATTACTGCGTGTGTGTGGGAACATTCTCACTGGGAGAATGATATTTCACTGATGCTGTAGGCAAAAAGTGATTGGTTTTGTAGAGGAGGATTGAAAGAACGTCATTACCATTTGCATCAAGGGAAAGCAGACTGTGCCAGACTTCGGGAAGATCAATTTTCTTCTTTATGGAAAGTGGAATTTTTTTTATATATATTCCTCTTCACTACACTACTCAGTTGGCACATCTAGGTAGCCTAAGAGCGTACAAGGTGATGTTAAGGAATGCTAGAGCCAAATACCCTGACCCCAGAGTCACAACACTGAAATGAAGAGATACAACCTTAACAACAAAGGTTAGTTAGGTACCTGTCAAGGGGGCAGTCTAGAAGATGAAGGGCTGGGGCATGTGGGAGGGAATCTGCGAACAATGGTGCAGGGAAGTGGATGCTGGTGGTGGGGTAGGCGCTACAATATTGTTTCTCTAAAATTCAATTACCAAAAACAGTAACAGTGCTTTAATAATTAAAGAAAAAAAATGTAACAGTGTTGTTTATCCATGATGGTTACCATAAGGGGCAGAGTGAAAATGCAGGTTTTTTTCTACCCAAGACAAGTAATTAACTCGGGAAGCACAATCATGGAGAATAATACTAGCATCATGCAATATTGCCTGTGTACATTTGGGGAGGGGTTATGTCTCAAGTTTCCCAAAAGAAAGGTCTTTTCACTGTTTTTATCGTCTATTAGTACACTAATGTGTGCATAGCTCTGCACTTGTTCTTTGGTGCATCCTAAAGTTGCCCATCCTTGGGGATGTTAAGTGTTAATTCCTAAACGACTCTTTCTCTTTTCTTCATTCTCTTCCTTGCAGGTAAAGTTAGTATTTTCAAAAGAACCCTCAAAGCCATTGGCTCCAAGGATTCTGCCTAACCCGCTTGCAGCAGCGGCAGCTGCAGCCGCCGTGGCAGTGAATTCCCCGTTCAGTCTTCGAACTGCACCGGCAGCGACGCTGTTCCAGACTTCTGCTCTTCCTCCTGCACTCCTGCGGCCTGCTCCAGGGCCCATTCGGACCACCCACACCCCAGTGCTGTTTGCTCCTTACTGAAATCCACATGGGAGTCATTGTACTGCAATAATTTTTCAAAAAACAAACAAAAAACAAAACAAACAAAAGAGAACTATGCAGTGTTTATATATAGTTTAAAGTATACCTGAAGAGCCAGGACTTTTGATAGTGAATTGAAATGATTATTTAAAAATAAATAAATAAAACAGAGGGGAGTTTGGGGACGGGAGGGAAAGGGGTGGAATTTTCTCCAAATTAAAGCATTCCTCTTGAACATTGATTGTTTTAGAAGTGATCTCCAGCATTGACTTGTAGTGGTATCTAGAATTCTGAAGCCTTTGTGACTGTGCTTTTGGGCACCTTTTCCCCTTGCATTGTCTTTCCTGCTTTATGAAACAACTATACATTGTCTAAGGGCATTAACTGGTTCCAATGTATATAGAATAATTTACTCTGTAGATGAAAATAATATGAAAAAAAGAAAAAAAAAACAAAACAAAAACAAAAGCAACACTGTGAATAGTAGTACCCGTGCTGGTCCTCTTGCTATGATACAGCAATTCCTGGGTATTTAGCCCAACAACAGTAGATACAGTAGATGTCTTGTAAAACAATAGTGCTGTGTCTCAATCTATGCCACTAGATTTTAAAGAATTGCAATGGTAGAATGAACAACTATTTCATGCCAGTAAGCATTCAAAAACTAAACCAACACCATGGTGGTGGAAAGGTTTTCCTGGTAGCATTCTCCCCTTTCCCAATCCAGCATGGAGAGGACCTTAAGTTCAGAAGTGTAGAACATGGCTAAACATAGAGGAAGGGGAGATGTTAATAAAGATGATTTTCAGCTAAGCAGAGTTTTACCACCCAGAAACACTATTGCTGGAAATAATGTTTTATCTATAATGCACCTTTGAGTGAAGATAGGTAAGTCCATGTATCATGGGAATTTAGAGAAAAAACTGCTCAACCATTATGTTTCAAGGATAAGGGAGAATCAAAACCCAGGATAATAATGCAAAGTAAAGATTTTTTTATGTTAGTATATATTCAGTGAAACAGAAAATATTAAATCTCTGCAGTATCCCCTTTATATCATACCAGTAGGGTTGTCTCTTAGGCATTGGTTTCTGCTTTGAATATGATGGTAGACATAGCTATTGTTGTGGGTTTTCTGTTGTTTTTTTTTTTAGATTTCCTACTGATATGATATAAACAGTTAATATATATTTAAATGTTAGCAAAAACAACTTCAATGAATCAGAGTCAGTTTCAGACCAAGGATGCAGTATTTAAAAATACTGGTACGATGCACTCGACCATCATTTATTTCTCTAGTGGAATTGTGAAATACTGATAGCCTTGGAATTCACCAGAAGGCTGAAAAGAGTTGATGTTTTACCTTTAAAACAAGATTTATCAGGGGTATATATAAATATATATGTATATTGTATATATGTTAGAAAGATTAAGAGACTAACTTATGAAAAGAAAATCTATATAAAATAATTATATAACCATCCCATGTTACATGTTATCATTAAATTGGTAACAAATGGCATAAAATAGCTGTGCCTTTAATTTGTGATAAAGGCTGTTTGCTTTTTTTCCCCCATAAGCTAACACATACCTATCACTTATGATGGGGTTTGATGCAGCCAGTCTGTTGCATTAATAAGAACAATGGCATTCAAAAGCAATGATATAATATGTACAAATAAACCATATGTGATTTAGGTTTAGAGAAAAAATATTTTTGAAAAGGTTTTGTAAAGACTATTTAAAAATATTGGAAGGACTCAGTATTACCTTCCTGAAATTTCTCTTATCCAAACTGTAGTAATTTTGAGAGGTAGAAAAATTCAAGATGAAAACATTTGAGAGATAGGTATTGAACATTGTCATATTAAATTTAACAAACGACCCATATGTGCTTGGTGCTCAATACTAATCATGGTCTTTGGGGTTCTTATCTATCTAGCTATGTGCATTTGTCATATAACCATATCTTTAAAATAGGTCGCTTTATATCATTTTGTTAATCAAAACAAAAATAAAAAGGAAGGGACAGAGAAAAAATGAATAAGAAAAAGGAATAGTCTATCAATCAGAGAAATAAAAAACATTTGAAGCATATATCTCTGGTTAGATATGTAGTTAGCATTAAACTTTGTTTTTGAAAATGTTTGGTAATTTTGCATTTATCATTATCTCTAATTCTGGTTATAGTGTTTACTTTGTCACCTTTAAACCCTGCTAGTTCAGCCAAGTGGAGTATTGCTCCATGAGTTTGTTGCTCTGGGCTCTGTCTGTAACTCCTGTGACCAGCTTCTGATTGTTTTGAACTTTAGTTTCCTTTTTCTGCTTTGTTTGTCACATATCTTCATCCTTCATTCTAAATCAGCCCGAATCCCTATCCAACATCCTTTATATCTGATCAAACTTCTCTTTCTTTTGGAGAACTAGAACCTAGTGTTAATTGATGGCAATCTCACTACCATGTGCTTCTGTTGGTCTTCCCCATTTTCACCAAAGTGAATGAGCCAGTCCACTAGAGGTCAGGGTCTCTGGGATACAGAGTCCTAGATCACAAAGGTGTTACTAACTTTAATGATTTTCTGGGAACAAACAAATCAGCCATATTTTCTCCATCAGCCATATGATGAAGCTCAGAAATACCTAACTCCCTTCTGCCTCACTACACTATGGAACCATTTTTGTTTAAATGGTCTCTTAAATGGAAGTTGTAAGCATCAGTTGTCTTTTACTCACTACCTAATAAAGGATGAAGCCTAACCATAGAACTTACAATGGATTCTCTGTGAATTGTTTCCCTCCGTTCCACGTATTTATCAACACCAGATCAACATCTATTATAGTTCAGACCACAATAAAGCTATAGTCTTTCCCTTAGGGAACTCTTTTCATGAATAAAGATCAATAATTCAGATTGGTCAGCAGAGGTGCTCTGAAAAATACACAAGGGGTGGTCTGTCTTTATGGTTATATATGCTTTACCATGAATCACATCCATGGCAAGAAAGTGATAAAGTAAGCATCTTTGATTTCATTTGAAACAAATATAAATGCATTGCAGGATCCAAATGCCTCTGGAAAAAGCATTGTTGCATCCCATCCAGATCACCAGGCAAATGGAAAACAGTCGTTGAGGGAGGTACTGTATTTTTCTACTGAGTGAACAGGTAATTACACATGATAAATTACTCTTCTCACTGATCCTAAGCTTTGAAGAGTGGTTGTTCTATTCACATAAGCAAACACAGTTGAATTTGGGCAATTTATATCTTCAGAACCTCATCTAAAAGGATTGCAATTTTTAGGTACTCTTGGGCTTCCCTTTGTCATTTACAATAATGTGCTGCCCTAATCAGGAATATATTTGGAGATTTTTTTTTGTTTTGTTTTGGACAGGTGGTACTTATTCTGCTGCCAAAGAACTATTTAGCTAAGGGAGCATTTATATTGATTTTGAAATTTTAAATGTGAGAAATCACAGAAGATTAAATATTAAAAGACAATGAAGTCTTGAAAATAAGATCAATTTGGAGTTTGCTGTGGATGCACTCATGTACGTTTCTAAAACAGTTCATAGTAGACACATGTATTGATTTCACTAGTAGAAAATAATTCAATTAGATGCCTGAACTTGGGCCGATGCCTTCCTACAAGCTGGTAAACCTTGTTGCCTTTAAGCTGGTAAGTAGAAGCTCTAAGATGACCTCTGTCTTGTGGGTCAGAGCCTGCAGCCTGGTTGATTTTTAAATGTCTGTGTTTGAGAACAGGGTGTGACTCTATGGCTATGTAGTAAAAGCTGAAATTAGTTGTGGGCTTTTGAGTTAGGATAGCTCTGGGTTTTGAGTTCTTACCTGGGTGTGGAGCAATGTGTGAGGAGGGATGGAGTTCTTGTAGAAATCGTGCCCTAGCTTCCCTTGCCCACTTCTATTTGGTTTTATTCCTGTTCACTGGATCTTTACTTATGACTCCGTCAATTTTTAGGAACTATTTTAAATGAGGAATACACACACACACACACACACACACACACACACACACATATAGCTGTGGTGTCTGTGATGGGGGGAGATGGCAAGTTCATAAAAATCTTTCCATGTCGGTGGCTGAAGAGATATTACAGTGAGTAGGGCATTTGATTTGCATCTTGCCAACCCAGATTCTATTCCCAGTACTCCAAATGGTTCACTGAGAGCTTCCAGGAGTGTTTCTTAAGCTCAAAGTGGTGGTGGAGGATGGGCACTGGTGGAGGGATGGGTACTTGATCATTGTATAACTGAAGCCCAAGCACAAAAATTTGTAAGTCTATAACTGTACCTCATGGTGTTTCACTAATAAAAAAAAAGTCTTTAAAACAAAACAAAAAAAAACCAAAAAGTTAGGAGTAAACCTTGAAAATTGGCTGGGTTTGCCCTCCCTCAGAAAATGAGAAAGCAGATTTTTCCCGTTACCATCTGGAACCCAAAATTAAATTTTAAATCTTTGTCTCCTAACATGTAGTGTTTCCATGTTTCTGAAGATATCAGATCACAAAAAGATCACTTCCTTCAAAGCTGAATTGAACTACATTTTTGTACCTCAGTCTGGAAACACAGTATTAGTAATGATTTAATACAAGAAAGATTCATAGAATGCTACAGAAAGATGAGACTGACATATGTAGACTTAACTCTGACCTGCAGGGTAGCATGTCTTTTGTGTAAATTTCTTAACAGTGCCTTTTCAGCAATTAGTAAAGGTTGAGCTGATTAGTTATTTCTGCATCAAATGACTCTTTTTTCATCCTTTTAGAAATTAAAGTTCTTTGCAGTTACCATAAAGCTACCGAATATTTGTACGTGTTTAGAAAATTTGTGTTCTGTTCCATCTGGAGTATAGACCAGGCAATAGGACATTTCATCTCACCAAGAAAAATGTAGTCTTCAACAACTATTTTTGGTGCCATGCACCATTTATCTGGGTTGGATAATTCATATTTAGACTGATGGCCAAGTTGTGAATGACCTTTCTCAATCTAAAACATAAGTTCTGAGCAAAACCAACCCTACAATAAAGAGATAAGAAATTTCAAGGTGGGAAAAGTGTACATTACAGGAATTAAAATTCATTCTTGGCATGTTGGAGCTTAATCTGAATTCGATCCCCAGCACCATAGAGTTCTAAGAATCGCTGGATTCAGTCCTGAGCACTGTGACAGTCTTGGCTCATTCCTTATCCCTGGCACTGAGCAACTAGGGCAGCACTACATGCTCAGGCCGTTATTGAGTGAGTCAAAGAGTTGTCTGGAGAGGTCCCTGGTCTGCCTGTACACTTACTCCAAATGCTCATCCACCCACCTCAAAAAAAAAAAGAATTTGCGAAGTAAATATAGAAGGGAGAAATAGATGTTTAAGTGTCTTTTCTCATTTCTTTTGATGTGCTTTCTCCTTTCTGTAGAAACGGACCTCATGCTATCATTAATTTAACCCTGAGTTTGCATGTGTGCTAGCTAATGGCTAATTTTAAAATTACTTATTTAATTCCACTGCTAAAAGAATACCAAGTATGCCCCTTGTCATTGTTATATCAAAAATTGTACTAATTTCTAATAACAAATGCTTTAGGCTTTTATTGCTATTGGTTTTCTATTAAATTGGCAGATTTACTTCTGGAGCATGTCTTCTGGTATTTCTATGAAATATTTCTATAACTACAGAGGCACTGCCATAAGCAAGTGAGATGGGTCAAGTGAAATTTGGCAAGTCCCCATTGCCTACTTTACAGTCATGCAAGGAGTGTCAGAGTTTCCACTGAAAGATGGATGTGTTGATATGTTATTCTCCTGTGGCCTATGATGCTGTTACTTTACAGGACTGGATTTATAACTAACCAGAATTGTGAAGGTCACATGATGAAGACGGGTTCTATCCTGTGAAAATCTCATCTATGTTATTTTATAGGAACTGCCTGCAAGTTAAAAGGGTCACAGGGTTAAAAAATTCAACGTGTCATCTGTGTGCAAGGTTGAAAGGAGTAAAATTGATCTTTAGTGTAAGAATTTTGCCTTCTGACTGATGGGAAGCCATGTTTCCTAGATGGCTGAGTTGACTGTGCAAAATACCAAAATATATTCAGCTCAAAATATGATCATTTACATGTATGAGCAAGCTGACTACATTAGGGTTTGGTCAAGTGTACTAACGTAATACAAAACGGGATCATGTTCTTTTCAGAACTGGCAAAGTAGTTCTAAATTCAATTTTCTAATTCAGAGGCATAATACAGGGGTTAAGGTGCCTTCCTTGCACAAGATGACTGGTTTCATCCCTGCACCAAAGCTGGTCCCCTGAACACAGCAAGGAGAGATCCTGAGCAAGTAGTGACTTGCTCACCCTAATTTATTTAAAAAAAACTGCTGCATAGATTAAACTTTAAAGACAAATTCCAGAGTGTAGGGCCAAAAGGATTTGTGAATAAAATTAGCACTATAGCATTGTCCTCCCATTGTTCATTGATTTGCTTGAGCCGACCCAGTAACATTGTGAGACTCGTTGTTACTGTGTTTGGCATATTGAATACGTCATGGGGAGCTTGCCAGGCTTTGTCGTGCGGGCGAGACACTCCTGGTAGCTTGCCGTGCTCTCTGAGAGGGGTGAAGGAATCGAACTCAGGTCAGCCTGTCGGCTGTGTGCAAGGCAAATGCCCTACCTGCTGTGCTATCTCTCCAGCCCTGTGAATAAAATTATGATTAAAAATTAGTACTTGTACAGAAACCAGTTAATCACGATCACGACCACCCTGTTGTTCGTCGATTGCCTCGAGCAGGTGCCAGTAACGTCTTCTTCGTCCTAGCCCTGAGATTTTTTTTTTTTTAAAGTGCCATATTCAAGGCTTTTTCAGGGTTAGGAGAATGAGGCCCATCATTGTTACTGGTATTTGGCATATTGGATATACCACGGGGAGTTTGCCAGACTCTGCCGTGTGGGCATGTTACATTTGGTAGCCTGCCAGTTTGACCAAATTAGGAATGAGATGATAAGATGTCGCGCGGCCGCGAATCGCGCGCTTCCGGGACCTGAGTGTGATGATCTCCGGATCCTGGCCGTTGTTGGAGTTAGACGGCAGTTGGTGGGTGTAACTGTCTAGTTACTGGCAGGTCCAGTCCCAAACTTTGCAGGCTTGGAGATCTCAGCCCCGGGTCCCACACACCTGGGTTCCTCTGTCAGTTCTTTTATGCGTGAGGCTCATCCAAGTGTGTGGAGAGTGCTCCCAGCATGGCCTTGGCTGGGCCTCGATGATCTTCAGCTGTTGGGCCCTGGTGGAGACAGTCAGGCATAGGGTAGGAGACTCTGTCTTGTTCTCTCCCAGGAGCTGAGTGTGATGATCTCTGGATCCTGGCCGTTGTTGGAGTTAGACGGCAGTTGGTGGGTGTAACTGTCTAGTTACTGGCAGGTCCAGTCCCAAACTGTGCAGGCTTGGAGATCTCAGCCCCGGGTCCCACACACCTGGGTTCCTCTGTCAGTTCTTTTATGCGTGAGGCTCATCCAAGTGTGTGGAGAGTGCTCCCAGCATGGCCTTGGCTGGGCCTCGATGATCTTCAGCTGTTGGGCCCTGGTGGAGACAGTCAGGCATAGGGTAGGAGACTCTGTCTTGTTCTCTCCCAGGAGCTGAGTGTGATGATCTCTGGATCCTGGCCGTTGCTGGAGTTAGACGGCAGTTGGTGGGTGTAACTGTCTAGTTACTGGCAGGTCCAGTCCCAAACTGTGCAGGCTTGGAGATCTCAGCCCCGGGTCCCACAC